TCTGCAGATGATTTAAACTCCTTTACATTAGCTAGGTGATTCCTAAGTAACTCAGTATCAATCTTGATTTGCAATTCAGATCCCTTGCCAAGGTCTCTGCTGATGCATGGAAGCACGTAGGAGAAAACTGAAGCAAGAAGAGATCTGTGTGCTTCCATGCAGCAGCAGAGATCTTGGAAAATAACAACTCCATTAGTGACAACTGCATTATATTCACTGAATTTTTCAGCAATAATTTGATGTATTTTGCTGCTCATATTTGTTCTGTTTATGAATCTGTTGAAATACTGGTTAACTTTTTGGTTTGTTTTTTTTTAAAAAAAAATCTGTTTCAACACCAGTGTTTCAAATTTCTTTAAAGGCAATAATTATCCAAAATCTGATATTCCAGTAATATGCCCTGAATGCCTAATAAAAAATATGCCTCTCCTTTCTGCTCTATCCTCTTTCTGATTACTTGGGAACAATTCCAATTTACTGTAGAGGACCAAGTGATTCAGTATTTACAAAGCTAATATTTATAACTCCACAGTTCTTTCAGTCAAAAAAGTGTAAGCAATTTATGTTCATCATTCTGTGTTACTATTCAGAGAAATGTAATCATACTTTCTTACACTGAATAATATCAATGTATCTGAAGACTGCTTTCAAGTGTAAAAAAGGTACCTTTGGGATCCCTTTTCGTCATAATTTTTCACTTACAGCAAGAGACTTATTAGGTAGAACAAACTCTAGTAAGTCATAATTAGTAACTTTTTCAAAGTACATTACCATTTAATTTATGGGTGGGGCAAGGGAAGTCACATTTACAAAGTTGTCCCAAAGGGAACAGCAGCAGAGCACTAGAAGTCTTAAGGAAACACATGCTCACTTTGATTATATTAGATAACTATTAGAAAACAGAGTGTGTGTTCCATAACGTCAGTATGTTCTAAACTCCATACTTTAGAAATCTAATTTAATTAATAATAAGTATTTATTTTTTTAGAAAATAGCACAAACAAACAAACAAAGTATGTACAATTTGTTTTGCTTTTAACTGCCACTCTAGATGACTTAATAACTTTCCCTGTCACCTTCAGGTTAATAGACAGCTTTTCCCTGTGGAAGGGAAGACCAATCTAGTGTACAATTACTTGAGAAAAAAATAGATATATTACTTTGACCTCAAAGCCCACAGTGAATAAACTTGTCCTATAGACCCCCTCAGATACATCATGGCAGCAATATGCACATTCACATAAGCATGATTGCCTATAATTGCTTGCCTTACTTTGCATAATGATGCAATTAGTGTATTTTTGGCATTGGTGCTCCCTCAAGTGATGGAGGAAATCTGCCATTTCATATGATTTTCCTCACCCATGTGTCTTGCATTCAGCATGCTTTGTTTGTGATTGGTCATTGAAAGGTCATCCATAATTCGCTATTATGATTACTGACACACACATACCAAATAAAATGGGGGAGGGAAACATAAGTTAGTAGTAGGGAAAACACATTTCCCCTTTAATGCTCATTTGATCTATTCATGAGTCTGAACTAGAACAGAGTTATGAACTCACTTAAGAGTTTGTCTACCAAGTTCCAGTTGATACAATAAGTCAATTCTGGTTGTGACTGGCAATTAGATTTGGGTCTAAGACTATAACTGTGGTTGCCTGCTGTGGTTTTTATTGATTACATGGGCTAGGATGATGCCTGGGAAGAAGCTGTTCTCCATTTGTCATTAAACAGCCTAATGCCAGTCCTTAGGCCTGCTGGGCAGAGGAGAATTAGAATAAGGATTGATCCAGGGTAGAAAATAATAGCTGCTTCTAAATGCCAAAACTAAGGTGCTGTAGGCTCCAAGATAAAAGACAGTGCACAAAACTGCTTAAGATGAATCTTTGATAGGGTGATGAATTTTAGCTGATTTATACTATTAGTTTATTTTTATCAGTAGAACACGCTAATCGTTTTAAAGTAGGGGTGAGCAACTATGACCTCTTAATGTGTCTGGAGTGTGACTCCCCATTAGGGAGTCCTTTTTTATATGACTAATTTGGGTAAGCAACACAAGTGTGTGTCCTAAGTCAAATGACTTATTATTATCAAAAGGACTCTTTTGCCCCAATAAACTTAAACTAATTTGGAGCCATCCAATGCAATTAATTTTTACAGGCTGAAGTTTTTAAATCTCAAGTTTCATGTCTCCTACTAACATGGCTCCACCACCTCTTTTTCTGTTAGAACTGAGTGATATATCCAGGTGTACTCTTTACTTAGGATAAAGTAAAGGTGAATTACACCTTCTAAATTTCCAAATTTCAAAGCAATAAGAGCCAATAACTTGATTTCTTGGCAGAATTGGAAGAAATTTGCAGGAATCATTGCCTTTTTGGGAGGAGCCAGACATGACAAATTTTAAATGGTGCAGTTATTTTCATGCAAGAGCAACCTCTATGTTTACAGAGCAAACTCTCTGTCTACAGGATATCTTGAATGACTGAACTGAACTGTAATCACAGATGGGTGTGTAACAGAGAGATGAGATTATTTCTGAGCACATACAGTGGTGAGAGGGTTACTGTTAAAAGACAAGTGCTATTTAATTCATGCATCAGTTTTGCAATCCTAACCCTACTTAGAAGGGATAAAGTTTTTTGAAGACTGGACTTAGTCTTAGTAGGCACATGTGTAGAACTGCACTTTCAATAAAGGGAAGGAGCAACAAATATATTCTGAAAACAACATAGGGACAGTTCAGCCAGAACTGAACTGAACTGATATTACTTATTGTTATATCAAAACAACAACAACAATACAGGGAAACAGTGGCTCAAATGGTTAAGTTGCTGGCTCTTGATTGCAAGATTGGCAGGTTGACAGTTTGAGGATCAGGTGCTGCATGATGAGGTAAGCTCCTGTCACTAGTCCTAGCTTCTGCCAACCTAGCAATTCAAAATCATGCAAATGCAAGTAGATAAATAGGTACCACTTCAGTGGGAAGGTAAACAGTGTTCTTTGCAATCATTCAGGACACATGATCGCAGAGTAGTCCTCGAACAATGCTGGCTCTTCAACTTAGGGCCTTT